ACACGCATCTTATCACTATCATATTTCCACCAGTCACATACCTTCATCACTCATTGACGTCACGTAATACCAAACTTGGCATATGTGAAGCTAGCGAAGCGGCCACGAGCGCATCATGAGTGTGGCATGTAGTCATGTTGTTACATGACACGCATGTCGTGATTATCATGTTCGGCTGTGTCATCTACCTATGTCGTTTGTTCGCGTCACGTAATACCGAATTTCGTACTTGTGAATTTAGTGAAACGGTCGCGAGCGCATCATGAGCATGGGATGTAGTCATTTTGTTACATGACACACATCTCATGATTACCATGTTTGCACCAGTCGCATACCTTCGTCATCCATTCACGAACCGTAATACCAAATTTTGTATATGTGACGCTAGCGAAATGGCCGCTAGTGCATCATGAGCATAGCATGTAGTCGTGTCAGTACATGACACCCATTTCATAATTTTCATGTTAGGGTCTGTCGCTTGTGTTTGCCATGCAATCATGTCTTACCATACCAGTTTTGCAACATGTCATGGGAACGAAACCACCACAAGAGCAGCAAGACCATGAAATGTAAATCATGACAATAATGATATACATATCATTTTCATGTTACGACTGGCTAAATATGCTCGTCATACTGTGATGTTATACCATACCAAGTTTCGTATCGATACCATTATCCAAACAGCCAGGAGAGCTAAAAGTCGTAGGCGGCTAGATAGATACGCTCAAAGTCGCCAAAGTTCGCTAAGAAATGCTTCGCATTTAAAAAAATGGCAGCACATCCCCGGAGTGAATGATGGAGATCGGGGCGAAGCATCCGTCCGTCCATTCGTTCTTGCTTTCGTCCGTCCATGCGTGCGTCTGTGTGACCGTCCGTGCGTCCATTCACCCGTCCGTGCGTACGTCTGTTCGTGCGTCCGCACGTCCATCTTTGCGTCCGTCCCTGCGTTCATCTATGCATCCTCCCTTGCGTCCATTCATGCGTCCATCCGTCGGTGCAGCCATCCGTGTGTCTGTCTACGCATCTGTCTGTGTGTCCGTTCATCCACCTATTCAACACTCCAAGTACCACCATCTCGCATCTTTTCATCATATATTCCTCATATAGGAGCAGCACCATCCAGCGGTCATTACAAGGACAAAACGAGAGGTGGCACACTCACACTTTCTTACGGCTTGCGCTTCGTGTCTACTTCCCACATTTAACCACCTCGAGTTCATGGTATATACTACTTCACTGTATTCATGGCACTGCGGCCCAACGCTCGCTAAACCTTTCTAAAACCTAGGAGGTTACGCCCAGCGAGAGCAACCCTTTCTTGTCAGATAATACTCAATGTACATGTCAATGGCTGCTAAGGGTGAATGAGAGACAGGCGAATTCAGCTTTTAGTTAACACGCACGCTGCGAATTTTTCTTTTTGTTCAACAACGCACAGAAGAAACCTCTCACCGGCACCACCTTCGAGGTCAAAATGTAAGACTTGTTACACACTACGACTACTACTACGATTACGAGGGACGAACGGGTGCCGCTATAAGTAGCTTCGCCCCTAAAAGAAATAGTAACACAAGGACGCAGTATGAGCCCTTTCTGATCCGAAAAGGTAGCCACGTTAAACTCGCTGGGCATGCGAGGAAAACGCTTCTTCTTAATCGCCGAACGCCAACAGCTCATCATGCGCTAGTAAGATGACTGCCGCAGCCGCCATCTTACGGTTGGCACGGCTTCACTCGTAGGCAAGAATATACATTCCAGCATTTTTTTTAAACCTTCTTGGTCCAACCCTATGTAAGTTCTCGACCGGGTATATTGTTGGAAAAGAGAAAAGATTGCCACTGGATGTTCGTTCCACTAAGTAAAGAAAAAAACACGATAATCGAAATGCTATTTATAGTAATGTTATTTATAGAAGTTGTTGAGCTTTCAGTTTCCATTGTTTGACCACATGGATAAAGGAATGGATGTTATCAGATCGAAAGCTGCGTCTCGCTCCCCAAGGAGAAAGATCCCACGAAAAGAACATGCACAGTACGAGCACGAAGAGCTGTCACAGCTGGACACTTAATCCTCGAACACAAAAAAGGGCACATGAGAATGGTGCACAAGTATAACACAAAGGACGAGCACAAACTGACAATAAAATCCAGGGTTTAACGTCCCAAAACTGCGATGTGCTTATCGGCAACGCCGCAATGGAGGGCTCCGGAAGTTCCGACTACCTGGGATTCATTAACCTGCGGCCAAATCTAGGCTAAAGGGCGTCAAGTAATATCGCCTCCACCTATATAAAATGCGGCCGCTGCGCCTAGGATTACATCTCGCGACCTTCAGGTGATGGCAGTGTTTATCGTTTTGTCCGTAAAGGAGAAAGAGTAAACCCGACGCTCACGCTTTGTTTACCCTTGCCCGTTTTTCTCTTACATTCTTTTATATGAACGACTCGGTGCGTAATAGCCAGGTGTGCCGGCTGCACCATAAAGCCCTGTTTTATGTACACGCATCCCTGTGTATAATAGCGAAAATATCGAAGCGGGTGGACTAGCGCTACGCTCTGTTGACTTGAAGTAATGCTATCCCGTCTCTTCCTACTTGATATTATTTTTATCAGAAGACTATTCTCATGCTGACAAGCACCATACACGTTCGTAGATATCCCTTGTTAGCCGACAAGAACAAACATTTACGACCACGAAGCCGTCACCCGACAAAACTCCACTACGGCCCTGTATTACACAATCTTCCTGCCATCTCTGAGTTTCTCTTGCTTTATTTATTTTTTAACTTTCTTGTAAACTACCATTCCAAATTCTTTTGCATTACTGCTGTGTCAAAAAACATCCTGGCAAAATGATTGAAACGAGGAATTCGATGAAGCAGAAGGTAGAAAATCGGGTGAACTTTTTTTTATTTGAAAAGAAGGCAGTCAACGTAGGCGAGAAGGATGGGGAGGATGGATTCACATGCTCCACTCCTTATGCAGGTTGTTGCATGCGTGAGTGGCTTTGAAAAGCCAAGCACCAAAGCCCAAATACGAGGCAGGCATGCGTACTGCAGCAGCGTCGCGGTGACAGCTGCGGGTGACGTCGTTCAGGCAAATAGAGAGCAACAAGATATAATAATAATGATGTTGTCTGCGACAGGCAACTACGCTGCGGCGATGACGGCAGCTTTTCCATCGGTGCCGCATAAAAAGAGGATTTGTTGTTGGCTCGGCTGCTTGGCTTCTCTTCTGAGTGTGCGTGCGTGCGTGTGTGTGTGTGTGTGTGTGTGTGTGTGTGTGTGTGTGTGTGTGTGTGTGTGCGCGTACGTTTGTGTGTTTGTGTGTTTGCGATGCTTGTGTTTAAAACCTTATTTCGCGTTCTCCGCTGCAGGTGATGTGTATAGGCATGCATACATACTCGACCGCGCAATGCGGCTTATGAAGAGAGCCTTACACAGCCACGCCACAGTCGCCTGAACAAACTTTGGGTCAAAAAGCAACGCTGTGAGCTCCTGCATGTGTATCCGATGTCGTTGCCAAGCTGCAGGCAGAATGCTACCATCACCTCCTCGGTACCGACGTTTCTTCAGAACACCAGTGTTTTATTTATAATGACTATTTTTCGTATAACTGTGTTGCTTCAAATATGCTACAATGTGGCTAAGAGGTAAAAAAAAATATGGTGGTCCGTGACTGTGCAGACACAATATTGCAAAATCAATGTTAACATACACTACATGTAAGGGTTTTCATTCTTGTGCTATGGTTTATTTTCGCGTTTTGTCGGCGAATACAGATATGGACGCTCCCAGTCCACCATGGATCTCGAGCTATAAGATCACCTGGGTGTTTTTATTAAAAACTTGGCTAGTGTCACCAAACAAAATGTTCGAAGCACGCACTGCCTAAATGTCGTGATAGAGAAATTGAAATTCACAGCTGGAGACAAACTGCCAGATCCCAGCTCGTGATAAACACCATCGTCACACGTTTCAGTTGCACTGGTTTAGCCCCATTTGTATAGAGTGCTTGGGCGCCGATTTTTTTTTTTTCTTGTTGATCCCGGTGTGTTTAGGTTCGAAGGCTGCATGGAAACTGCATACGCTAACCTAATAGCGCATTGCATTACAGCAAATGATCTCGCATTATTAGTTCGCCATTCATTCACTGCTTCTCGCGGTACATTGGTGTCAATGTTACGGAAATTTACAGCACAAATTTCAACGAAATTCTTGTCACTGGGACCATACGCGTGTTACATAATTAGCAATGCTGCCATTCTCACCGTAGACCATAGCAGTGAAGCCGTATACATATATATAGAAAAAAGCACTATTAATTCTCTTGTAATACGTAAAACCACAAGTAAGCAATACATTAAGACTAGTAATACCAGCTAGGACGCATGGCATGACTACAAATGACGAAAAAACCACAAGTTACCGCGATTCCAATGGTAAGACTCAACCTATAATATAATCTATATATTAAACAATTGTTCCAGACACCTCAAAGCCAGCAGTATTTTCTCCAGCGGACATCCAATCAGATAGCTGAGTTTGTAGTAATGGTAAACACATAGCTAAGTATGTTAAAAGCACCCTGCTACATGCGTATGACGCATTTTTACCGATTACCGATTTCGTATGACTAGTAAACTTTGACACGTTCTCACACGTTGTCACGCAAATGGTATCATGGGCCCCGTCAGCATTCTACTTTGCGGCCTTAAGCCTAGAAGCATGCTCGTAGCCAAAAAAGGTGGCCAACCCTTCCCCTTGTGGAGTTTGTATGATGGGGGGTGTTTTCCTGAGAATAAATGAAAATAGGTGTTTTAAGGCCTTCAAAAAGTGCGCCCTCAACCCCCGAAGAACATTCCTGGCGGCGAGCCTGCCAGTAAGTTTATCCAAAATAATGTGTATGCAGTTCTGGCAAACAAATACAATTTAACTGGTTGAACGAAACCTTCTGACCGACCACGCACAATCAGAGGAGTCAAAATGTTTTCCCTCACCTGGGTGATTCCATGGAGAACTCTGACGTGGAGTGCGACGAGTTCCTGGAAACGGCCGAGGCACCCGAGGCAGTGGCCGTGGCCATGTTTGAGTTCATGTAGCCAATGTGGCATCGCACGTCTTTGGCCGTGGTGAAGGCGCTGCGGTTGTTCTTGTCCGGCCGGAAGAGGATGATGTAGACGCGGGGCATGAAAAGCAGCACCAGGGCGACCTCGGCCGAGAAGCTGATGCAGAGGCAGAGCGTGATGACCTTGTGCTTGCTGCCGAAGTAGATGGGCACGAACGCGGCCCATATCACTAGAGTCGTGTACATTGTGAAGCCAATGAACTTGGCCTCGTTGAAGTTCTCCGGCACGTTGCGCGTCTTCACGGCGTACACCGTGCACATGGCGATGAGAAAGAAGTCGAAGCCCAGCGGAGCGATTATGCCCAGCGTGGTGGTGTTGCAGATGAGCTTGACGCGGTCCAGTGCCGGGTAGTCGAACATGGAGTCGGGCGGCTCGAGCACCACCATGGCGCCGATGATGGCCCCCTCGACGGAGATGAGCAGCCACGTGATGACCACCTGGGCGGTGGCGCTCATGAAGCGGGGCTTCTTGGTAATGATCTTCTTCTTGGAGCCGGCCAGGATTCTGCGAGGTCAGAATTGGTAGTACGGTGAAGTTAAATAGTTTCGTATTGGCAGTGGCATTAACAAATGGGTTTCCATCTAAAACTTTCAAATATAGCGACTCGATGGTAAGCGGAATGAGCATTTTCTGAGACCAACAAACTTCCGTTAGTACAGCCAGGTTTGTACGCTAAGTCTCCCTGTGCCTGCCCGTTTGAGCAAAACAAGAACACAATAAAATTTCGTTTCTTCTGTACCCTGCAAAACCAATGACAGTCACATGTGTAAATCTTGTGAAGCATTCCAGCAGTCGTGGAGTAAGAAATTTCAAGTAAGTTGTAAATGGCTCAAGAGTGGAGTGCTGCCGACATGCAAGGCGGCACAGTATGAAAGCCAGCAATATGTGGGTCATTTGGCGCGAGGCCCTGCGTCTGGCGTCACCGAACCCCCCACCCCCGCTTCAGACGCAATGTCTTTGTACGTCAATCCCTTCCAGTCCTAGTCCTTGGCCCGATCCCTGAATCATTCAGGAACAGTCAAGACACGTCCTCTCGAATGAAAGTTTCCGTTCTGTAAGGCCTCCTATATACTCCCACAAGCGGCGTTCAACGTCCCCTTTTGTCTTGCAAGCTACTCATAATGAAGTTGCGGGGGATACTGTTTTGTAAACACATGATTAGAACATGTTGGCGCTGATCCCGCGAGGTGAAAATATAGCAAGGAAGTCTTTGAGTGTCTGAGCTTTAAGGTTACGCCGTAATGATGACGTGGATAAGCTAATCCAAGAATGTAACTGGACGCGGTTTCTCTTAGAGGAGATCCGCCTTTGTTCAAAGAATACAAGCAGCAGCACGACGCTCTGTTTTCTGTACACGACTAGTATAAGGGGCCCCTAGCACCTACTATTCACAATGAAATGACATTTCCTGCAATGTAGTCAACCAGTCATACCGGCAGCATATGGGATCCGGCCACGGAAGGCACGCACAATCAAAAAAGAATCAGTGCTTGCTGTATCCTCTGATGTATTTACTGGGATTCACTGGTATTGCGGAAAATACATGTAACGAAAGACGCTGAACTGGGGCCCAGTGGGTCATGTGGGAAGCCGGAGCAGTGAGCACCACCAACTGAGTAGTCCAGACAACAGAAAAAAAATAACACGACTGATCCCTGTGTCATAAGAATCGGCATAACACGATAGTGAAACGTGCATTCACAGATGTAGTTGAGCGTTTACTGCGCATTGTTTCGCCCCTGAAGTGAAGGAACGTAAAGTGTAATTTCACGTGAAAAACGGCAAGGAGTTCGAAATTTGCAGCACACTCCTCAAGTAGAAAGGGCGCCCGAAAAAAGCATACACTGGGCAAGCGCGAGTCAACTGTCACATCAAAACCCTTAAATTGCTCTGCTCACACTCAAAGAAGGCCGCCCGGAACCAGTCCACCAGTATACATACACACGAGGAGTGTTAACAAAGAAGTGTCACGTGTGAGCAGCACGCTCCTTTCGATTGATTTGATTTGATTGATTGATATGTGGGGTTTAACGTCCCAAAACCACTATATGATTATGAGAGACACCGTAGTGGAGGGCTCCGGAAATTTAGACCACCTGGGGTTCTTTAACGTGTACCCAAATCTGGGCACACGGACCTACAACATTTCCGCCTCCATCGGAAATGCAGCCGCCGCAGCCGGGATTCGATCCCGTGACCTGCGGGTCAGCAGCCGAGTACCTTAGCCACTAGACCACCGCGGCGGGGCTTCTCTGTAGATTTTGCGCACATTTGCGATGACAGTAAAAGATGTACAAACCAACCCCGTGATGAGATAAACGCACGCGCGCGAGTGGCCACGCCCTGTTGAGGCGTGCGCAGGTCGCAAGGCGCGGGGCGACGACCTTTAAGGCACGCCCTCTGCCGCCTTCGCGCCATCTCGCTAGTAATAACAAGAACACGCTGAAGCCACCAAGCGCTGAGGCGCGCCAATGGTAAATGGCGTATACAAGTAGCTCCCCGTTAGTACGCTGAAAAACGTACCTCTGTGGCCGAGTCGATACGTGCACCGCGCTACAGAACAAGTGGTCGTAGGTTCGACTCCTGGTAGCAGAACTACTTCTCTAGTTTTTTTTTTCTTTGGTAACAATTGTTGTATAGACCCTTCCACTGTTTACAAACACAGGCCCTTGATTACATCCCGTTCTGTCTACCGATGTGCCTTAATATCATCGGTAGACAAAAAGAGCTTTAGAAAATAGGCCGCTGATTTTCTACAGTTTTCTTTCCTTATTTGGCAAAATATATTCAAATATTTGTTGTTTTGAGCTACATGAAAGTTAATAAAGATTCCCCTGTACATTACGCACATTCCTTTTATGTGAGAAACAAAACAAAAGCTTTCCTATTCCTTGAAAAATACTTGAAAACATGCTGTCAGTTTCGACGTTAGGAGCTGGTAAATGTGGTGACCGGAAATTTTTTGGGGTACAACGCTTGTAACTTTGAAACTGTCTATATTTTACGGCGTCATATCTGTGACAGATACCAGTTGCGGTGGTGGACACCGGAATAAAACACCCTCGTGTTGCCTGTTTCATCACGGACACCTTTTTTAGGGGAGAAGCTTATTAGTGTCGAGCAATGTCCCCTGTCCATCGGCGTGATACGCTAAGCACATACCCGCTCTAGACTGGGTATGTGCCACAGGGGATGCGAGATGGCGTTACTTGGGAGTGGAATAGAGAGAAGCACAGACGTACGCACGGACAGAAAGACTAGCAACGTACGAAACACACTCACGGAGGAACGTGATGGTGGAATGCAGACAAATTGACAGAAGTAGGCTAAGCAGGACGGGGCGGGGACAGACGGACTCAAGGATAGACAGAAGGTGATTGGACGGACGCATATATGCTCACCGCGGTCGGACGGATGCAAGACGAGACGGACGGACAGGTGGAAGGCCGCTTCGCCCAACTCAGCTCATTCACTCCGTGATATGCTGATTTTTTTATTTCGTTTCTTTTTATTGATATGAACAATAGCGTCTACGGATACCGGCGGCAGCAGCGGCGCCAGGCCTGCGCAGAACGCACAGAACGGTCATAATGAAAGTTGGAAGAGCTGCAATTCCGAAACCCGTTGTAAAATTCCTTGGAGTTACCAATACAAGTATGCTTACAAGGCGCCCACTACGCCATAAATCATAAATTTTCTGAAGTTGGGAGGCACCCATAACGACATTCTTTGTCATTCTGTGAGACACGATGTAACCTCTACGCATGTGAAAGGCATCACGTGCCCTTTGGTTAGGCGGTGACTGATGACGATAAATTTTGGCTGAGCCCTTTGTAATGGGTTGGAAGCATTCAACAACCCGTTTGTGGCGCAATTCGCATTAGGTGACGTGTGCTTACGGAATTCTCATTGTTTAACACCTGGTCGTTATTTCGCTTTTACAACCCGCCATAATGCATATGTTAACACGGTTCCTTCCCAACATGACAACTGTATAGCGTCTTCTTGCAAAGGAGTTTCAAGCACGGGCATGTATCTCTGATGCAATACTAGGCGGCCATGGAGAGGACCAAGGGTCGAACCTCGTTCTATCAAGAGTATTTTTTCTTATTCGAGTTTTTTCTTATTGTTTCGAGCAAAAGAGGTTACCGACACCGACGGCGGCAACGGTGGACAACTACGGTGCCACGAAAGGCCCTTATTATCATATAACAGCTTTCGCACAGTGGGTGAAATGCCTCGTCCTATTCGGATGTGACGTTTCAGTGACTTGATACAACGTGACTAGAGATTTCGCTTTCTGGTCGTCCTACCGATAGTAGCATACCGTCGAAGTTGTTAGCAGTACACTCCTTGATCTACAACAAGTACTATCAAGCGAGAGAATACAAACAGAGCTCAAAGCCACCTTGGGCGCCAACTACAGGAGCCGTGAGATTTCGTATGGCAACAAGGGACGCGTTTGTGAGGCTTGAAACATTTAAGTGCGCTCTGTACCCCATGCTCAGCACCAGAACACCGACGGCAAATAAACATGTCCGTCTGAAATGAGAGACCGTGGGTTCTTACACGCTGTCGGTGGCCTTGTGTCCCAGATTGGTCATTGCGATTGCTACCAGGCCATGTGCGGCCGTATAGGTGAAAGTCGGCTGCACCTAACACCCCCACTTTGCCAGGGGAGCTTAGAAAGACGTCTTTCTGCAGAGGGTCTTGTACCGAGAGTGTAACAGGGCTCGCCAGTTGCGTGGAGCGCGTCCTGCTCATTTCGATTATACATCTCGAGTACGTTTCTGGCGCGAGGTGCTTTATAGTACTTCTCAACGAACTGCGCTGCGCCTCGTGGTGAAGTGCAGCTGGTGCGGTGCCTGTAACCGAGTGGCCTTGACAAGGAGTGTAGGCCTGGCGACGCTCGTTCAGTGTGTCTCAGAGCAGGCAACTCAGGCATACTCGTATCTGCACGAAGGAATGCAATTATACCACTCATACAGTCGGCAAACACTCAATGCGCGTGCCGAGAGCGGGTAAGCGTTGAATCCTCATCGCTCGCCAAATCACCGGTGCGCTGTTCTCGGAAACCGCTTGCGTGTGACTGATGTACTCAGGGTGGCTCAATGATTCAGCACTTTCAGACGACCCGATTTAGCAGCTCTTGAGTGCAGAACCCTGATTTTGCCCGTTCCACGAGCTGACACGCATTGCTCACTTTAGCAGGTCCATTTAGGCTTCATTTTCTATTAGCCAACGGTCAAAAACAGCCTTAGACAGCTAATATGTATGCCTACTTTTGCCTCGCCTTTCTCGCATGTAACATTGCGCTCGTTTCAGTCCCTTCGCTTTGCCTCTAAGACGAAGCGAAGTCCTAATGGTCGCCTACGAGGCAACCACCAAGAGCCCGAGCCACGGTGTCTTCACAGCCTGCACTTAACCTCCGTTTAAGTACTGTCATCATCGCCACAGGCTGTAGTGAACGTTGCGTGAATGTACCCCGAAAACAACTAAAGACTTACGCGTTCATACTTGTAAGGAGGTAATGCCAAGGTATTAAGGATCATTGATTTATAAGACAACGTACCTTGCGATCCGGTTGGTCTTGGTGACGAGCGCCGCGTATATCATGGCGAAGCTGAGACCGGGGAGCACGTCGTGTGATGAAGCATGTGAGTGCGCTGGGCTTGGCCAGCAGGGCGAACGTGGTTCCATGGCAGAGGAACATGCCGATCAGTATGATGTAGGACAGTTCGCGCGTCGAGCTCTTCACCACGGGCGTGTCGTTGTGACGGATGAAGATGATCATGGCAGCCAGCGTGGCCATCAGGCCAAGGATGGCTATGCTCATGGCCGCCAACGACTGGCTGTCAGTCCAGTGGATGTATTCCTCGGGAATACGAACACAACCTGGAGAAAGGTGTGTAGTTTCTAAATAAAAGAGCACTATTCACAGTAGATTACGAGTCTTCGCAGATATACGAAACGCAACCATCATCATCATCATCATCATCATCATCATAGCCATTATATTTAGCCTGTTTATCAGCCTATATTTCGATTCACTATATGATGGGGGCCTCTGGCAATGATCTTCAGTTTACTCTATCCTGAGCAAGTCGATTCTTGTGAACTCTTTAATTGTACTTCCCGCCAGATGGGCGACATGAAAATACCGCGATAACAACACTAAATGTGTCAGAGTCATGAATGTTCACTCATCGTCACTCAGCGCCTGAGGCGTGGCCTATAAGAGCTCGCCGGACACGTCAAGATACTGTCGATGTCTCATGGACGGGAACGCGCCGTTGAGCACGAAATAGCAACAACGTCTACGCAGCAGACCCCATTCATAGTTCACTAAAAAAAGCCATGCATACCAAGCAATCGAATGAATGCTGCCACTGGAGTTTGATATTTGTGTCACCGTTCCTTTAAACAAACGCTGCTCCGTTTTTGCGCGACATTCTCAGAACAATCTCACTTCGTGCTTTGTATAGTTTGATGAAATTACTTGCCCTTGCGTGTAAAGTTTCGCTGCCTTAAATTGAAATTACTATTTTTTTCTATAGAGCGTTAAAAGCAAAGTGCCTCACCCGTGAGGTTCTCATTAGGCCACCAGCCCCTCTCGCAGTCCAGGCAGGTGTACTCGTCCTTGACGTACTGGTTCTCTTTGCAGGCCACGCAGTTCCAGCAACACTTCATCGTTTCCGAGTGAATACTCTGCAAGAATATAGCCGTATAAGTGAAAATTACAGAAAGATGAAGTAGTTGGAGTGTGCATGTGCGCATAAGCGTGCACATGTCTCCCCGTAAAGGGGCGGGGGTGAAAGCTCGTCGCAGCACCCTCCGCTACCAGAATATAAGGCGTGAAAAGCGATACGTCAAAGTACGGGCCAGACTCTACGCCCTCCTTTTTGCCATCCCCGTGGGCCCACCTGTGTGTGTGTGTGTGTGTGTGTGTGTGTGTGTGTGTGTGTGTGTGTGTGTGTGTGTGTGTGTGTGTGTGTGTGTGTGTGTGTGTGTGTGTGTGTGTGTGTGTGTGTGTGTGTGTGTGTGTGTGTGTGTGTGTGTGTGTGTGTGTGTGTGTGTGTGCGCATTCTGAACAAGCTAAGCATATGCACCACACTGTCGAATACACTTCAATATTTTAAAGAATCTTAGAAGGAGAAGCAGGTGCTTCCCATAAAGAATACTGCTTCTTTAGAAACATTAAAAGGGGGTTTTAAAGAAGAATAGATGCCATTTTATGTGACGCTTTGCGTTAGCGAAACTCGAAAGACACGCGAACGTAATTGAAGAAAGAGCTGTTTGGAAACTGCCAGAAAGTGTAATTAGTAGCAGTCTCGCAATGACGGCCTTGCCGGACGCCCAGGGCGGGTCTGCCATTGGTAGCACCATCTTTCAAGTACGGCTTGAGACTTAGGTTAACGAGGTTGTTAATGGCGAATTCCCGGCGCACAAGAGCGGTCATGGACAAGCACTTTTGACTCGAGATTGCCCCCCCCCAAAAAAAAACACACGAAACACACAAAACTGGACCAGATGGAAGTACTCCAACTAAGTGGCGCTTTCTTTCAAAACGACCTGTTCTCCGAAGCCCTTGAAAGAGACCGTTAAAAGCTCCTGTCCAAGAGTCTGCTGTTCAAGCCACTACTCGCCTGTTCCGTTCATTAAGCTGTGAATTTATGCGTTAAGCATGCCATCTCTGCCATGCTACTTTAAACGTCAAATATAGCGCCGTTTTCAACAAACCTTTTTGCCCTTTTCGACTGTACTTATTTCGAGTCTCTTGGTATCCCCATCAAGCAGTTGAAAGTGCGACTGTCGAGAGTGTAAATGCAGCATATGCAATGACAAGTAGGAGCTGTGATGTGGTATAAAAAAAGAAAACAAAAACGTCATCGGGAGTCGAACCCGCGACCTGTGGGTCCACGGCAACCGATGCCAAGCACACTGTCCGCTGCGCCGTTGTCACTTTTTAGAGCGAAGGCTGTTATGAGATCACAACGCGGGTCACGTGCGCGCCGTAGTTGTCCGCAGCCACTGCCCTCGGTGTCCGTAACTACTATCGCACGAAAGAAGAAAAAAAACCAGTAAATAAGAACACTTAAAGAACACAGTGGGATTCGAACCCGAGCCCCATGCGTGCCAGCTCAGTATTATACCACTGAGCCACGCAGTTGCTTGGAACTCTCCTGCAAGCTTGCCTTAGGCAGGCTTGATGTCGGGAAAATCATCGGGTTAATATGAGTAATAAAGCGTTTTAGAACAGCAGAGGAACAACCAGGCGTCATACAATGTGAATTGCGTAACTAGTGGGTAGTCCAATGCTCCCAGCCGTAACAAAAGCTTGTTCTTGTTCTTGTTCTTGTTGCCCTTAACTTGTGCCTCATACCCACTGTGGGGGATCGACCAATAATTGAGCGGTCTTATAAAGTATTATTCGCTTTTAGAGTAACGAAACTTACAGATTCTTGATCACTTATTACCTGTTGTGCATACCCGCTCAGGCCTAATAATTCATCGTCGTCAGCTACAGCATGAAATATAGCACAAAATTCCTTGCGAGTGTGTAGCGGATACCACGCTTCTCAGAAGAAGGACGCAGGATTGCATAGTGAATGCCGTGCTACACAACTAGACTAGGTCACTTTCTGATTACACCCAAACATTTTCGGCCGAGTTCTTGGCTATTATATTAGCACAACGTTAACTTCATTTACCTATACCTCCGGTGGCTATAGTTACAGATTCCTTGCCGTTGTGTTCGGCACTAACTGCTTCAATAGATTCGGATATTCTAAGATTATTGCGGTTACTTGTTGCCTCATCATTTGCGACAACGGCGAATAATTTGGGTGGCCGGAACACAAAAGAATTGCACTCAATGAAGTTGCGGACTCTCTGGCGAAAACTTCTCTGACAGGTCGAGTTCTCTCTCTCCTTCCTGTTAAGGCGTTTGTTGCTGCGTTAAGGTTCAGAATGTATGCATTCTCTGTGTTTACTCCAAGTCTCGATTCGTCAGCGGACTTTCTGTACCTACAGTTCTCTTGGAGCAAGAAATGGTGTGCAGCAAGACGAGCTTACCAGAATGCGTTGCAGAATTCCAAATCTAAATTTTTACATGCACAGGGCGGGTTCGGAAATCTCTCCTTTTTGCTCCTATTGCAACGAACTCGACACTATCGAGCACTTCTTGTTGAGCTGCCAACGTTTTTTCTTACACAGAAAACGCAGTATAGAAATTATATTGCGGCAACATGTTCTACCGGTTACGTCGGCCGTTCTGTTATCATTTGGGGCCTTTGCGCTGGGACACTCGGACAGGAATATTTTCAAAGCTGTCGAAAAATTTATATGCGACTCGAATAGATTTGGTAGATGTATCAACTACTAACAATTATTTAGTCAGCCTTCCTAGTCAAAAGAGCTCTGGGAGATTAAACAAAATAGTGCAACTTAAAATTACAATTATTCATACTTAACGTTACATTAAAAATTATCTTAAATATATCTTAGCTCTTACTAAATAATAATCACAAATTCAGTATGTATGATCCGCCCAACTCATGGCCGATCACCCAGAGTGCACGTGCCAATAATCCAAGGACCATCATCATCATCATCATCGTTGTTACTACACAGAAATTATAAATATTTATGGTGTTGGGGGTACCGAGCAAGCGTGCTTGTAGCAGTTACCGAATGAGTGTTCAGAAAACATTCTGAAAGACCGAGCTTTCGCTGTGACTATGCTGCGCGTTTCGCGCAGGCCTGGTGGGTTTTTTTAAGGTTCAAAGTGTGCGACCTTGGCTCAGATGCCACTGCGCCATAGTCAAGTGCCTTCAACATTAAAAACACGTTTTTGTTTTAATCTGCCACAGTCCTCTCAGCATTCTTGGTAAAATGCAGTAATGCGTCATGACCGCAGCATCCGCGATGAGTTCGCGTCTTTTTAAGTGTCTGTGCAGTTTTGTCAATGCGGAACACACCCCCAGGTGACGATATTACTTCTAGCGTCGGTGTCACTCATAGCGCACGTCCATACAAAAAAAAAAGGCAGATCCCCGTACAGTAGAAATCGATGATATGCGAAGCACGAATGAGAAGGGTTGATATCTCATTTTAAAATCGGCCCAACGTTACGAGGGGGAGGTAAATGATGGCGTACATGACTTCAGTGTCATGATTATCATGTATGGACGTGTCGTTTACCTTGGCCCTCTATTCACATCATGAGATACCGAATTTAGTATATGTGTAGCTAGCGAAACGGTCGCGAGCATGCTATGAGCGTGATATGTTGTCATGTTTTTACATGACACGCGTGTCATAATTATCATGTTTGCACCAGTCATATACTTTCGTCATTTATTGACGTCACGTAACACCAAATTTGGTATGTGTGGAGCTAGCGAAACGGCCGCGAGCGCATCAAGAAGGGCCCAATATACTCCAATGTAGCGTTGACGCGCGAGCACGCTTTGCACAAACAAGGCCCATCGTAACCTTGATGATGATTCAATTGAAACCCTGAAGGATATGATCAATGCAGCATGGAAAGAAGGCAGGGTGCCAGAGCAGTGGAAGCTGGCCAGGACGATCCTTATTCCTAAGCCAGGAAAGCCCCCTAACTTGGACAACATGAGGCCAATATCCTTGACATCATGTATCGGCAAGGTTGCAGAACGTGTCATACTGCACAGGATAAACAAGCACTTGGAAAATAACGACATATATACACACAATGTGGTTGGATTCAGGGCAGGGCTAACCACACAAGATGCATTGAAGCTTATCAAACACCAGGTCATCGGCAACAAAACGAGAGACGTGAGAGCCATTCTGTGCCTACATCTAGAAAAAACGTTTGACAACATCCACCACTCATTCATACTCGAAGCAATTTCCAAGCTTGGTCTGAGGAAAGCCTTCTATGACTACGTATGTTCCTTTCTTACAGATCGGAAAGCCGTGATGAAGACTGCAGATATCGAGACCACAGCAATCGAACTAGAAACAAGGGGCACGCCGCAAGGCGCAGTGATTTCACCAATGCTGTTCAACATTGCCATGATTGGACTGTCAAAGAAATTATCGAGCATTGAAGGATTGAAGCACAGCATCTACGCAGATGACATTACCATCTGGTGCACAGGTGGAAGCGAGGGGCAGATTGAGAGCGCCCTGCAAGAGGCGATTGACACCGTAGAAGAGTACCTTCGTCCTTCTGGGCTCAAGTGCTCCTCGAGTAAGTCAGAACTTTTACTGTATCGGACTGCACACCGGGGACCGAAGCCCACGGGATGGAAGCCGTTAAACCAGATAGACATCCACCTCCGTACAAATCAAGGGGATTCCATCCAGAGGGTCGACTCTATCAAAGTCCTGGGCATGCTGATAGAGTCTACCGGCGCCAACAGCAAATCTATAGCCAAGTTAACTTGGAAAACAGACAGTGCGGTGCACCTCATACGCAGAGTGGCCAACAAAAGAAATGGGATCAAGGAAGACAACCTCATCAGGTTGATGCATGCGTTTGTTCTAAGCCACTTCACGTTTGAGGCAGCAATGCACAACTGGTCAAGAGCAGAGTCCGAGACACTGAATGTGCTCCGCAGGAAAGTTATCAAGAAGGTTCTGGGCCTACCCATACATACCAGCACCGAGCGTCTGCTTGAGCTTGGCATTCACAACACGCTCGAAGAAATAGCAGAAGCCCAAGAGAGAGCACAGTTTGCAAGGTTATCTACAACAAGGTCGGGAAGAATGATCCTGCAGGAGCAGGGCCAACCCCCAATGGCAATCAGGAACAATTACAATGATATCCCCGACAACATCAGGGAGAATATCACGGTGTCTCCTATACCAAGAAACATTATTCCAGAACACAACGTCGGAAGAAGAGTAGCGAGGGCCAGGACTATACTTCGTCAAGTCTCAAACGAGGAACGAGGGGTCGTATTTGTTGACGCGGCTTCCTACGCCAATGGGAAAGCGTTTGTGGCAAAGGTGGTCGATGGGGCTGGCCATGTCGTCAACTCAGCGACGGTCAGGACGAAAGACCCAATCATTGCGGAACAGGTGGCCATCGCCTTAGCACTCAAGATGGATAACATTGAAGTCGTCTACAGTGATTCCATGGCAGCACTACGGGCGTTCGCCAAGGGGACGGTCTCTGAACAAACGCTGAGAATACTGCAAGGCAAGAACATAACGCATCATCTTCTGAGTTGGTTCCCAGCTCACCTTGGGCAAATCAACGATTCCCCTCCCAATCTCAATGAAGCAGCACACGAGGCGGCGCGAGAACTCTCCAACCGCGCCTCCCCGGGGATGCGTTCTACCGGTGAAGGGGATAACCGGGAAATTCTTACAACATATAACGAGCTCACTAAACATTTCTACCTCTCTAGAAGGATTTTCCCTCTACCTCACGAAAATCTAACCCGGCCCCAAGCACTTACATTAAGGCTTTTGCAAACGCGGATGTACCCAACTTTGAAAATGTTACACATCATGTGCCCTGACCTTTACCCAAGTAATCTTTGTCCACATTGTGGGGAAATAGCTTCATTAGAACACATGCTCTGGCAGTGCATCAAATTCGCTCATATATCGAACATCACCTCTGCCAGATGGGAGGCGGCAATCCGCAGCTCGTCCTTGGCAGATCAGCTCTGGGCTGTCCACCAAGCCCGCGAGGCGGCTGAGGAGTTTGGCATCTCAGTCCCCACGTGGGAGCTGCCCGCAACACAGTGATCTGTGTTTTGGAGGACCAAATAAAAGTTTATCCAATCCAACGCTTTGCACAGCGACGCTACGTTAGCAAAACGGGAGTACTGTATGGTCTGACACCAGGCGCGACCAGCGTCTGTCGGTGGGGCTCGACTGCAACAGGTGCGAAATGCGACATGCTACATTTCGTACCGATGTTACCCAGACAACGACGCGTCTCCCTCTTTTCGTGATGGAGGTATGCCAGACGCGCTGAAGCGCGCATGCGTCAAAGCAACGCAGCGTGGTGCGTGCCTGCGATTATATAGCAGGACCGGCGCTTGGTGTCGCAAGGCGGTGAGCACGCGCGCTGCGTCACGTCGAAATGTATTGGCGCCTCTACTGTGGCATGTAGTCATGTCCTCGCATGACACACATCTCATGATTATGTTTTCACCAGTCCCATAGCTTCGTCATCCATTCATACCACGTAATACCAAATTCGGCATGTGTGAAGCTAGCTAAAAAGCCCCGCCGCGGTGGTCTAGTGGCTAAGGTACTCGGCTGCTGACCCGCAGGTCGCGGGTTCGATTCCCGGCTGCGGCGGCTGCATTTCCGATGGAGGCGAAATGTTGTAGGCCCGTGTACTCAGATTTGGGTGCACGTTAAAGAACCCCAGGTGGTCAGAATTTCCGGAGCCCTCCACTACGGCGTCTCTCATAATAAAATGGTGGTTTTGGGACGTTAAAACCCCACAAATCAATCAAAGCTAGCTAAAGGGCCGCGAGCGCATCATAAGTGTGTCATGTAGTCATGTTGTTACATGACATGCATCTCATGTTTATCATGCTTGCACCAGTATCATACCTTCGTAATCTATTTACGTCCCGTAATACCAAATTTGGTATAAGTGAAGATAGCGAAACGGCCGCGAGCGCGTCATAAGCTTGGCATGTAGTCATGTTGTTAACTGACACGTTTGTCATGAATTTCATGTTGGTGATTTTTCGCTTGTGTTCACCATGCATTCATGTCATACCATACCAGTTTTGCTACAAGCCATGTCAACGAAACCACTGCAAGAGCTGCAGGACCATGAAATGTGAATCATGACATTCATGACATCCATGTCATGATTTTCATGTTATGACTACTCAAATATGTTCTTCATACAGTCATGTTATGCCATACCAAGTTTGGTATTGATACCATAATCGAAACAGCCAGGAGAGCTAAAAGTCGTAGGCGGCTAAGTAGATAGATAGATAGATAGATAGATAGATAGATAGATAGATAGATAGATAGATAGATAGATAGATAGATAGATAGATAGATAGATAGATAGACAGACAGACAGACAGACAGACAGACAGGCCAGACAGACAGACAGACAGACAGACAGACAGACAGACAGACAGACAGACAGATAGATAGAATAGATAGATAGATAGATAGATAGATAGATAGATAGATAGATAGATAGATAGATAGATAGATAGATAGATAGATAGATAGATAGATAGATACGCTCAATGTCACCGAAGTTCGCTAAGAAATGCTTCGCATTTGAAAAACGCCCCCACCTTTTTGAGGGGAATCGTGACGAAACGCGAATGCATTTCTTGCGCCGAGAGAGCGCACTGTTGCCGTCAGACGTCCGCCTTCACCGAGTTCTGCCATCGCTTTGAGAGGGGCCCAGCCAGCAAATGGTCGGGAGTGAGGAGGAGTGGGCAGACGGGAGAGTGGGGCGCCAGCGTTCTCGGTTCTTCGTTGGTGTTTCACAGCAGCGTCTCGAGCACACCTTTTCGGATGTTCTTGAGAGGCGCCCAGCCAGCGAACGGTCGAAAGTGAGAAGCGAGCAGACGGAAGAATGGGGCGCCAGCATTCTCACCTCTGCCTTGGGGTTTCATGGCGGCGTCTTGAGCACACACTTTCGGGTGTTCTTGACAGGCGCCCAGTCAGCGAACGGTCGAGTCAGACGAGAGTAGACAGGAGAGTGGGGCGCAGGGAGGAGAAAGAGCGAACGGCGAGAGAAGGAGCTTTGAAGCACTGCACCGACCCGTTCGTACACTCTCTCACTCCAGATGCTCCGGTTGCTAGGGGCGAGGATAAGCGCGCGCGCCAACGCGCGCGCCCGCAGTTGCTATGAGAGAGGGAACTGAGAGCGGAGAGATAACTCCTGCCGGTGCGCGGCACCCGCCACGTACATTGCCGCCGGATGCCTGACATAGCCCGACTAAGAAATGCATTCCCATTCAGAAATCGCGTGGCCATAACTCAGTAAACGTATGCAGTAGACTGGGGCACCCTTGTGCCCCCGCCGTGCGCCCACTTACGGTCACTAGCGCCAACTGCTAGTGTATAATCTTTAGTGTGCTACTATGAAATTATATGATTTCAGACTCTGTGATTCAGCGGCGTACCTTGACTTTTCCCTTTTCGCAGGGCAGCGAGCAAATGGAGATTGGCGGTGCGGTGCGTTGTGCTCGGTGCCACTGCACGTCTCGGGTCATTGTGAGCTCGCCGTTGACCCACGAACCAACCTGTACATAGTCGTAGTGGTGCTCACCCAGTTGTTGGTAGTTCATCAGGTCATACCTGCATTATCGAACACGAAACATGAATCAGTCAGATACATTATGGGCAGTACCAGCGCACAAACTCACGGGACGAAGAGACACAAACACACGAAAGTTTCTAAGATTCCAAGCTTTCTGTCTTACTATTTCGTTCAAAGAATGACAGTGACGTAGACACAAGGAGAGGTTCTAGATCAAGTTTGTTTGCTTTGGCCTATAGTACTACGTGATTTTTATGACTCGTAAGAACACACCTCGATTGAGCGAGTGAGTGAATGAGTGAGTGAGTGAGTGAGTGAGGGGAAACTTCATTGAATAGGTCCGGCAATTTTGCGCTGGGCGGGCCCACAAGCACGCCGGCCTAGGTGACTGCCTCAAAGCGCAAAAATTTTGGGACAATTAGTTCACTAAGTTTCTGGCAACGAAACCTGATGTGATTGAGATCGCCAAGAAAAAAATGTGCCTTGTGTGAAAAGTAGTACTCATTTCAAACATGACGCGGAGGAAGAACACGAAATATATTAAGTTAACCACGTCATGAAGACAAAGTCTGCCGTGAGAAATGCTTGAAATGCTCTGCTGAGCAGCTGCTGCGTTGGGTAGTCGCTGTGCCATGCGGCAGGCATTTACTATGCGAAGCGAATAGCACAGGACGGTAAAATGCTCGTCGATTTGAAATCAGCACTAAAGTATACAGCTGGCGTCATTTTGCAATGAAAAAGCACAAAAATAGCTGCAATATCTCTCGAAGCACGCACGCGAAACCCACCACCAGCTGTGGCTCTGGCTCCAGGCGAGGCGTCGACGACGGAGGCAGAGAAGCTCCAGAGCAGGCGGCCGTTTTGTTTTCCCAGCCTAGCAGAAATCATTGGCAGTGCGGAGTTCTTTTCCGCGAACCATCTGTTTCGACGGTGCACCGCAGTAAAGAAGCCATGCGAAATATTTCGCTAAAGTATAATTGACTCGCACCCGATTCTCCGAACGCGCCTCCACGAAAAGAAATTCGCGACATTCGGTTCATCCGTGCTGTCACCTTCACTTTCGCTTAAAGAAAAAAAAATGAATCACACGTGGCTCGTCCGGGGATGCTTTCCGGCTAACGATAACTGCGAGTTAGTGGGAAAACATCGCTTCCAGCTTGCACGAGTAACAGCGCGTTCGCTAGCGACAAACGATGAAGCTAGTATAAGAGGCAGGGGTACCTTTCAAAAGCGTTAGGTAAGGTTAGTGCAGTTTATGAAGCGTGAAATATCCTTGTACACGCAAACATCTCAAGCGTCTAGAAAAAAAAAACAAAGCGCAACGTCGACTTCCGCATCCACTAGAAATTCATGCGCTGTATCAGCCGAAGGTAAAGCTTGTCAGGGAATTCTGCAGTTTATTGCACAAGCTAATGAGCCACACGATAACACTCGCATGAAGAGAGCTTTCTTACGCCATTTTATTAACCCCGCAGCTTCGGGGTATTAGCTATTGGTTTGCAGTGACATTCCTAGAAGGCTTAGGTAACACAACCCTTTCGTGACGGTTGCCGCCAATGGCATGACGTACTTCTTTAAACAGCAAGATAACGCGTGCTGTTTAAATGCTCCCTGATAAACGATAATGCTCCCTGGCGCAGTTTGCTAATTCGGATAGGCGAGGCAAGGCAACGGATAGGTTGGAGGCTGGAAGTTCAACCTAATAGAGCCTGGTTGAAGGCCCTCCGATGAGAGAATGGGCAATCGGCTTGATATGTGGGGTTGAACGTCCCAAAACCACCATATTATTATGAGTGACGCCGTAGTGGAGGGCTCCGGAAATTTCGACCATCTGGGATTCTTTAACGTGCACCCAAATCTGAGCACATGAACTCACGGCATTGTCGCCTCCATCGAGTACAGCCGCCACAGCCGCGATTCGATCCCGCGACCTGCGGGTCAGCAGCCTAGTGCCTTGTATAACCCAAGTGATGTCCTGTGACGTTATAACTTCTCTCGAATCGATCCACGACCGTCTCATAAGCCAACCGATAAGCGGGTGATTTTACGAGGGGGTGTGGCATGTTACGTCTGGACGTAAGAAGCTGTGCAGAAAACGGCGGAATTATTATCGCAAACACGCTCAACGCTACCCAGCACTTCACCGTTACGACAGAAAGGGGGAAAAAGAAAGGCGGAATTAGCACTAAGCCACGCAAGGCTTGAAACAGTGACACTGGACGAATGTTTAGGTTTTTTGTGTGTATGCCTTAGTTAGGTGATGCAGGTTCTAGGTTTATTCTAAGTTATTGCTAGGTTTTATCTAGGTGATGTATAGTTGTTTCTAAGATGATTCTCAGCGCAGAGAGGTTCGAGTTACGCCACACACAGTCACAGGACACGACATAGATGTCCAAACTTCAGAGACGTAAACTCGCGTTGAAACCGAGCGTTCGGCACCTGTCATAGATCTACGGACACGTCATCGTTATGGTAGCCTTTCCATCGCATCGGTGTCTTCGAAGCCGCCGTTACCTTTACCGCTCCCTGCTATTCTCTCGTTTGACGCATAGCGCTTCCTATAATACACTAGAGGGAACTCTGGCACTAGTGTCTATGGGAGCTGCAAGGCATGGCGCTTCAGTGAGCATGGGAATGACGGGTAGTTCACGTATTTGTTCCATTTCCGTACTTTGGGCTACGGTTGGCATTGCGTGGCTTGAAGCTGCTTCGTCACGAAACCAAAATCTCCAAGTGTTCAGCAGTCGCACTTCACCACCTAGACCTTTGAGGCTCACCAATTCAAATCGGGTCGCGAAGGTAAAAACGGTCTCTTCTTTTATTCGAAACGAAACGAAAACACTGAAATAAACGAAGCCACAACTGCGTTTGATGCCCGCAAGCACGAAGACTAGGCAAATCTATGTACTACCCCTTCTTCCCATGGTCGCTGAAGAATCACAGCGCCAGAGCCCCCTCTAGATATTTTTAGAAGACTCTATAGTTTGACGTACTCGTGGTCTTCGGCTCACCGCAGCTTCGCAGTCATTTGTCGGGCCAAAAGTTGCCTACTTTATTTATAGTGGACCAGTGGTTAGCAATCTGTCACTGGATTTACCTTATTTCTTAGACACATACACCTATCGTGATGATCGTAGTTTTCTTGTAGGCCACTCAAGAGAACATACATGTTAAGACGATGATAGTTTACTGTGATCAACTCCTAACGAACGATTTGAAAAAAAAACAGCTCAGACGTTGAAACTGAGTGCGTCGAATTTCGTGTCGCGAACAGCTCGCAAAGTTTGCCCTGTGTTCCGTACTGCTTTCTGAATAGTGGTGCTCATATACCTCGAAGAACTTCCAGTAGTTGCAGCATCATCGTCACCTATGACAATGAACCGAAACGCAGGTGCTGCACGAACAAGCGGGATGACGGAAGCATCATCTGGCAGACTACACATGTTCCTGTTAAAGCCAGTATACACTCATCACTCCTGTATGCCGCTTAATCGAGTATCGCGTTGATTCAGCCACCCACCTGTTTCGGTAACCAGTTAGATATGGTCCCCGCGCAAGTGATTTCCGATAGTGGCAGCGTCCTTACGACGAGAAAGTTGTCAAAAACGTCGTCGCTCTCAAGTTTTAGTGTAATATAAAGAATATATCAGGTGGTCAAAAGCGATCTGAACCCCTTCATCCCAGCGTGTTCGACAGCGCTGATATTTAAGTCGTTAGGCCACCCCAACATTCTTTGAGTGAGTCATCACTTTTGATTAGGTGACTACGCACGGCAAATCCTTTATTTCAACCGAGGCCATTGAAGACGACGACGATAGTGTATACGACAGTAGCATACGACAAGGCATCTCAGTTTCATAAATTGCCAAAAGCGAGCACTGCACGCGAACGGAAAGACTGAAGAGCTGTATACAGTTAAGTCGCTTGGTGTCACGCAGGCAAATCCATGCACCGCATAGCGATCTATAGCAAAGGGGTAGAAATCGTTCGTGAGGCTGAGGAACTGCTATATGCGTGGGCATTGTGGCTTTGAAAAGGGAAAAATGAAGAAGTGCGACAAACTTGCTGAAACGCTCCAACAGGACATCGGCTATACCATTGCGCTTGCCCACGGGAAATGCAAGCGCAAACGTTTAGCCACATTACGTTTAGTGCGTTTACCAACACTCGCCAATGATCATTCATTGCGAAATAGTTCTGGGCCACTCTGGTTAGTTGTTCAATGTGATTCTATAACTTTCCTAGTTATCAAATTTGTTTTAATTCAACGTTAATTGTCTGCAGTACTCCCTTCATGTTGCACGATTTGTAACAACAGTATGTAAGAACAGTAATAGGTATCAGTCGGTTGGTCGGTTGGTCGATCGGTCGTTTAGTGCTCCTGACGCAATGACATATTACTGTTGTTACATACGTGCTATAGCGACATATACACCGCTAATACAAAGTGTTGATCAAAGTACACAAATCGTGCCACAAGAAGGAAGTACTACAAAAAATAAACGTTGAAATAAAAATGAATTCGATGACTAGGAAAGTTATGTAATCATACTGAACAACTACCCAGAGGGGCCCAGAACTATTCCCCAATGAATGATGAATGGCGACTGTTGGCGAACGCATTAAACCTGATGCGGCTAAATGTTTGCGCTCGCATTTCCCGCGGGTAAGCACAGTGGTATAGTCGATGTCCTCTTGGCGCGTTTCAGCACCAGTACCCGCGGCGCTCGGCAAGGGGCGAGGCTTGTATTGCACAGTGATCGTGTGCCTTCAAAGGGACGCCTTCTGATCACAATTAGAAATGAAGACAGAGCAGAAAGGGAGCGGATACATTCACAGGAGTTTTGTGAGAGTGCGGATGCGAAACATAATTTCTTTGATCCCCGCTTTCGAGTCAAAATCATTTTCGCCGCAAGCACTCGAAGCTGCCGAAAAACAGAGAAGCGGAAATCGTTATCAAGATGCCATCGAGAAACTTTTCTTTTTAGCTAATTGTGAGGTGTAGAGGTGTTGTTGCCATATGCAGTTTTCTTGTGTTTGAATAACATCAACTTATCGTTTCGCGTTTCCTTATCGCAAAAGAAGTAAACATGCCGACAAATAGACTTACAATAGCAGTCCTCATAATTCCTCTATACCTGCAGCAAACGCGCTAAACTCGTCAACGAAGCTTGAACAAAAATGAGATCAAAGTAAACACTCGCTTCGTCTAAGCCATGACAATCCTTCTTCAAAACATATTATGATGATGATGATGATGATGATGATGACGACGACGACGACGACCTTGTATTGATGGCGCTCACTCACAAAGGAGGATGGGTCAAGGACCAGGCGGCAGGAAGCCTTAAACTGGAGGTCTGTGCCGCTAAACCAAACTGGGAATTGGTCACAACAATATTAAACCTTGTTTCTAATCTTATTTTTCTTTTTGTCTGTTCGAGCGCGAGTTCTCTCTTTCACTTAAATATTGCAATACCAGTTAGATAACCAATCTATTCCTGGCTTACACAAAGAATAAAGGAGGTAATGAGGGGAACGATAATTGCAATTGCTGCAAAGAGGTACATTTGCTGACGCCTTCTGGAAAACAGCGAATTAGATGCAACTTAGGAAGACGGAAAAAAATTGGCCCCGTATCTGGATCGTTTCACTTCAAATGTCAGTCGAAAAGATGATAGCCTTGCGTGTAGAGAGAGTGAACAAAACGTCTATTTGATGTACTGCACGAGAAAAATTGATGAATTATATTCTAGGAAACGCTGCGTTAGAGAGTCTCGATCCGTGCAGTGAAGGCGAACGACCGCATCGAGGCACGTTAGACACGAGCGCTATCTGCAGTTATCTTCGAAAACGAAGGAAGGCCTGCGCGCCCACGGAGAAAGATGCGCGCCTGTCTCCGGGGCGCTAAGGTCCTAGAACGCAAAGCGACGGGCAGGTGCCACCATAGTGCAGTATTAGCAAAGCGTTGGAAACACTTGACTTTTTGAGCATCTACGTTGCACTGTCAGCGCAGCGTGATTAACGCTACGGTCCTGCAGAATTACTTATGTGTTCCTTTCTAGTATGAATGCCCACATATTAAATATTGACGTTTTGTTATGGTGCCTCAGTTATGCGCAGTTATTGTGTTTTATTTAAATTCGCTCAAGTATGAACGCTGAAACTTAAGCAATAATGGTGGGCGCTGTGAATAGGGTTACCCGTTTGGGGTATTGCTTGGAGCCGTTTGGAGTATCGTTACGGCAGACAAGCAAACAAGTGTGCAGACAGACAGACAGACAGACAAACAGACAGACAGACAGACAGACAGACAGACAGACAGACAGACAGACAGACAGACAGACAGACAGACAGACAGACAGACGGACAGACAGACAGACAGACAGACAGACTAAAATTTTTGCGTCGCATTACCCCAAGAAAAACTATCGTCTTTAAAAGTCACATCTTTGCCACAAAGGCATTGCAATGAACGCATCAGCAACAAATTGGAAGGTCACACGCAGAATGACAAGCATATCTAAACGTGCCCCTCGCTTTTGACGCACAAAATGATGCACGAAACGTACTCTCAATACAGATGAACTTGAATAAGCATCTCAGTTGTTACTTCGTCATGTCTGAAAAGCGTGCTCTTTTCGCAAACGGAGGCTGTGCAACGACTGCAGTGACATTTGAGCACCCCGTAATTACAACAGAATTGTTCCAGTGCAAGCCCAACGCCAGCCAAGACGTATGATCCTCCCCACCGGGAGATAAGGGCGAGAGAAAGATCGTCCACTCCCCTCCTTTCCACGGGCGAAAGTACGCGTGAGAGATGACAGCCACCACTCGCTCATTGCGCCATCTTGCTGATAATGCTGAAAACACGATAGTTCCCCCGAGATGCCCGCCAACTAGCGGTAAGGGGTAAATATAAACAGCTTGCCGTTTGAACGTTGAAGGAGGTACACTTTGGTGGCTAGGTGGTTACCGCCTCACATCCTCGACGTGAAGGTCCCACGTTCGATTCCGCGCGCCGGGGTCTTTTTTTTCGTTTTTTTCTTTCTTGAGTTTTCATATATATAGATACGTATACATATACAGTGCAGGACGCCCACGCCTACGCCGGCGGTGAAATGCAAAATCCAGCCGAGAGTGTGCATATAATGGCTATAGCAATAACAATCAAGGTGGAAGAAAGAAGTGAACATTTCAGTGAGACGGGAGGGGATTGGTTCAAGTAGCTTGTTTTTCTGCTACGCGCAAGCAATGAAAGCAACAGGCATTGCTTGCTGTGTTTAGCCACGGCGTAATGATTACGAGCTAAATTGAAAGAAGTTGCGGGTTTAGATCACAAAGGTAAAGAGGGTACTTTTTCGTCCACTTCAATTGCTTTAAATTTAGGTCATAGTCATTACAGTACAGTTGAACACGACAAACACATCCCGTATGCTTTGCTTGACATAATTGCCAGTTGTTTTCATTGATTGTGCCGAACTAATGTGACAAATAAACACAGCCAAAAGCAGCGCATGAAAACGATAACAATGTTGTGTATAGAAACGGGATGCCATGGCAGTTTTGTGAAGAAAATTTAGACAGCCACAATTAGCCTGCTGGCGTAAAGAAGCAGACGCACTCTCACGCTTCAGTTAAGATGATGTCTCTCACAAAAAAAAAGGTGAGGTATGTACGTCACTTCACGTTCGCTCTCTCTAACGCATCAAGTGTGTCATCATTTACCTGAACCTAAAGACAAGCGATGCTAAGATGCTGAGGGGGGGGGGGGAGGGATGAGGCACGGCAAAGTGGGCGCACACAAGCACCACAGTGACAAGTGCGAAAAGCGTGAATGGGCGGCACCGATGAGCCACGCCGGGAAAAAAAATAATTAGTGGGTGGAGGGAAGCTCGGCTGCCGTGTGTTTTCGGGCGTCGTCTCGGTTCGGGAAATGGCGCGTCTGGAAGTAACGACCCGGTGCCGTAATTAGTCACGGATAACGGACAAGTGAAGAATGCGCTTGACACTCGGCAAGGCGGACCGCCATTCCAGCTAACTCTTCGAGAACGTCTTTCTTTTCGTCTTTCCAGGAAGCCGTAGCTTCAGATTAGCTTACTGCTTTGCTCGGTCTGCTTGAACACTTCTGTGCCAGCGAGATGCGTCTCGTTACACCACTCTCGGCCTCGGCGTAAAGGCTGCACCGTCTTGTCTACAGGAACTAAAGGCGCACGTCAGGTCTAGAGCTATTATGGGCTCTCCCGGAATCTGGTAGGCGCTGCTCCGATAATAGAATAACCTGCACCTGCGCCATCTCTCTCTCTCTCTCATTCTGTCCCTCCTCCCCACTGCTCTTTGAGCCAGAAGATTTGATTGGTATGTGAGGTTTAAAGTCCCAAAACCATCATGTGATCATGAGAAACGCCGTAGTGCACGGCTCCGGAAATTTCGACCACCTGGGGTTCTTTAACGTTCACCCAAATCTGAGCACACGGGCCTACAGCATATTCGCCTCCATCAAAAATGCAGCCGCCGAAGCCGCGATTCTATCCCGCGACCCGCGGGTCAGCAGCGGAGTACCTCGGCCACTAGACCACCGCGGCGAGGTCTCTGCACCAGAAGGGCGACCTTAGTGTGTGGAGGGAAATCTCAGCTCTGGTGGTCGCATTTTGACAGGGGCGAAATGGTAGAGGCCCGCGTGTTACGTGATTTCACACCGGTTGGCCAATATTTCAGGAACCCTTGACTACAGCATGCCTCATTTATATTCGTATCGTAGATTCGGCATGCAAACCCTTACGCTTGCCGCCCCCCTTTTTCTCTCTGCACTGGTAGGGTAACAAATGAGAGCTAAGTTTACCTCTCTGCCCCTCATATCCTTTTCTTTATCTCTCTTTCCATCTCTCTATCTCTCTCTCTCGCGCGCGCTCTCTGGCTATAAACATGTATGTATAGATATGTGCGTACGCACGACGTCAAATCTGGGGTTATATGTTTTTTTTTACTTCCACGCCCTGAACCACTGACCGTGCAGGGACGTCAGGGCGCGGCATGTTACATTTCGTTCATTCATGACCTTATTCGGCAAGCGAACTGTATGTAACATAAACTGAGATAACGTGCGGCGTATCAGTTGGCTGTATATTGCACTGCTTCCACGAACATCAGCTAAATGTGGCAGAATATGATGGAAAACCTGACAGTGACGCCACCATCGTTTTGGCAGCAAGAGCTCAACAGCACGAAAGCTGTTTCGCTTTCTCGAGCAGCCATGCCCCCTTTTCGCCGAATTATGACCGAATGGATCCCTTACACCAGAGTTGAGACATGCCAGAGTGGAGTCACGCTAGAGCGGTATTAGCTGCTATCATTACCTCTTTTAACATTTCAATTAGTTCCTATGACATTCATTGCTTTGCCGTAGCGGCCAAACAAAGCTTTTTTTTTCTTTTACAGCCTGCGCGGCATATTTCTACGAAGCGATTGATATGACACTTCAAGGATTCGCTCACCGTCCTGGGGGGTCTCCGTTCTCGTGGAAGAAAACCGTCTCGTTGTTCCACGCGAATGTGGCGTTCATCAGGTACTGCAAGAAGACGGAGCCGTTGACGGGCACCATGGCGGGGCACACGCCGGACGTGTTGGGACAGAGGTCGCGTTGCATGTTGTGTAGGCCATACGCCATGGTGTATATGGACTTTTTCACAAACTCCACTTTGGTGTCCTGCTTGTGGCCCTCTCTTAGGTCTTCCTTGCCTAGACACGAACAGAGGATTACGATGAGAAATGGGCAGTACCATATGATTTGATTAACTTGGAGCGATAACGAAAATGTATCCTCCACGTATGCTACCTCTGTTGTCCCGGTGTTGTTTCCGTCCAAAGTAAGAGTTGTAAAGTAGAAAATAACGTTACAAGTTTGTGCGATGCCTACATTTTACATATGACAAGTCAACCATGTTTATTCACGTAATGCTGTTGGCTGCTGTATTTGCTGAATTAACACCAACCAAGTGGACTAATGTTGATTTGCTTTGGCTATAAAAGCAAGTGAAGATAACTAGTGATAATTTGGAATAGCTGTGAAGCATTTCAACGGCATTCACCATTAAATCAGCGCTGTCTTTTTTACTGTTAAGAAATAACAAAATGTTGTGTAGTATGTTCACCACATAGAGAGAGCAGCCGACGCTTTCTTCTTTCATCTACACTAGCTTCTATCGTGTAAAAAAAAACAAATTGAGGATTGCGGTTGCAGCGGGCATTCAGAAGCAATAAGAACTTCCGAGCTGCGTGAATATTGTTTCAGGAATAGACATCTAAGATGCATCTTGTCTTCAAAGTGAATGTAGTAAGGCAGGTGAACAGTGTCGTCCGGAAAATGCTATAGAATTTCCCGTACGTCTTCGAGTTAGAATGAATGTGACCTTTATCAGCCGCTTAGCCGCTTTCGGCGGTGAGGTGGGGAATGGTCAAGGATGGTCAACAATTTCATGTCAAACATTCAACAGTCCAGAGTCAAAAGTTCTTACATTACTCTAAAGAAGCCACTTCGACTGCGGTATATTGCAAGAGCTTTCTATCGTGATACAAAGATATTTAATTCCAAAGGTCAGGTGAACTTACTGCTATTGTTATATGTAGTGTGTATGCATAGTTGGCCATAACTTTGTAACAAATATTAAGGCAACTTCCCTCTAGTGGCGCCAAGTCTGAATGAAGGGCAGAGCTGGGTAGCCTTCTTTGTTTCTCTCCGCTTTTCTCCTTCCTTCTACCTCACTTTCTAGATGCGAAGCATCTCTTGCTCGGGCATATGTACCGTGGCGTCGGTGGTGTCCATGCTCACTCTACCCATGCGCAACTCTGCTCCTTAACTCCCTCCAACATCTGCGTGTCACTCTCTCCCCTTCTCTTCTACCCCCTGCTTGTGCTTGCTCCCCCTCTCTCTCCTTAGGGCATCCCCCAACCGATATTATATATATATATATATATATATATATGTGACGTATCAAGTGATGGTTAGGAGAAGTAGATGAGGAAGAAGTGCAGTATGGAATAAACATGACGTATGAGCCAGGCCACGTCGCCCATTCAGCATAGCGTCACAGGAGTCGACAGGATGAAGACCTCGCAACCACTTCATCGCCCGGCCATCATCATCGAAGACCTCAGCGAGACGCAGTGTCCGAACGCGGACCACCAAGACCACCAAGCATCATGACAGCAGCATCAGAAGACCTTGACATACCTAAGTACACCGGATTCGCGGACGACGGACCCGTACAGGACTGGTTGAACCTGTTCGAACTCCACGCTACCGCTGCATCTTGGTCGGAACGGGAGATGGTTACGAACTTCAGCGACTACGTCCCCGGTGAGGCATTTAAATTTTACCTCAACCACATATTCGACAACAATGAGCCTTGGCAAAAGATAAAACTAGAAATGATCGCTTGGTTTAAAAAATACGATGACGACTGCGACGAAGACTTGCTTGTAACCCACCATTTACAGACAACTGCACTCAGTCGTCAATTTTACAGGCAGTCTTCAACCATTCGAACGCACAACAAGATTTGACCTCTGACAAAAGACGAAGTGGCACACGAGCTCAGTGGCAGGCGACAACGCGTATTTTGGGAAAAACACAGCCATCGAGCGCGCCTACCTTCTGCACGAAAGTCGGCATTTGCGAAGTCATCGCTTCAGCATATCACCCGAGACGTTGCCCAACCACCTGATGCCGTTCACTCTTCGTCTGGCACACGTGGTCCACCACCTGGGTTTCCATCACGCGGCTCTTCAAGCGTTCCTGACGCTCACCGTTTGCCTCATAAGGACATCATGTTCACGATAGACGAGTTGACACACCGAGAAAATACCCAGTTAAGCCATGCTCCTTCCGCACGGGTTCATGCATCACCGCCCGGTGCATACACACTCGACAGTCGAAGCAACACCGAAGGGTTAGGCACATCGAACGTCAGACGCTGCCATGCGCAAGAGCCTCTCGTAGTGAACAGTGCAGAAAAAGCTTCTGAAGAACTTTCTATCAACTCTGAAGCATCATCTTCATTGCCTGAATTGCATGACAACTGCTCAGAAACTACCAGCTGCCGACTGGATACCCCATCAGGTTGTCATGAAAACCAGCGCGATGTTCAAGAAGGGCTTCCACCGCAATATGGTCCACAGCAACGTCAGCAACGCCACCAAAAGCAAGTCCATGAATCGCAGACACTCCAACAGACACACCAACAAGGACGACGACGCAAAGCAAGCCCCTTAAAACAAATTCAAAAAGCGAGGCAACTTCGCATAAAGGATCGGCGCCAGAAACGCATTTGGCACAAAATATCAAGACTGCGCCTAAGATTACAGCTCCGAAACCTCAGGAAACACCGAACAAGACAAGAAGTTACTAGTTCTACCATGCAAAGATTCAGACACCATCCCATTAGTTTACGACAATGGAGCCAACGCCACAGAAAACTACGAAAGAGACTGAACGTTATAATTTGTACAATGCACGAACATAGACATAATTTCTTGAACTTCAGTTCTTGTACACGCAGGCTACAAGCACTAATTCTGTCTCAGCCGCGACACAAAATATAGCGCGTACAACAGAGGATTCGGCGCCTACGACATTCGTTCTTCAAATGCTCCAAGGACTTCCAACCTTGTTCGTTCCTCGCAGCTGCTCAAGTAATGTCATGGTCAGTGCAGTTTTGCAAGACGCGGTTACCATCTCCAGAACGCCACAGCCAACCTCGCCCACCAGAACTCCCCCATTCACCGGACTGCCGCACTCATTTCTGAAGTTTTGCGAGTTTACGGAACACCACTGGGACATGAAACCAATTGTGAATTTTGACATTTGCGACTTCTCAACCTTGCCTTGTTTACTTTTTCTTGTTCGTAATCCATGCCTTCTTTCGGGGGAAGTGGGAATCGTGTGACGTATCAAGTGATGGTAAGGAGAAGTAGATGAGGAAGAAGTGCAGTATGGAAAAAACATGGCGTATGAGCCAGGCCACGTCGCCCATTCAGCATAGCGTCACATATATATATATATATATATATATATATATATATATATATATATATATATATATATATATATATATATATATATATATATATATATATATGAGATCTAACAGACAATAATGCCAAGGAATGTATAGGGGAAGTTATTAGAACCAATGCAATGTAAATAAGAAGAAAGAAAGGTAGGTGAAAAAATAACTTGCCATGAGCAGGAATTGGCAAGTTATTTTTTCACCCACTTTTCTTTCTTCTTATTTACATTACATTGGTTCTAATAACTTCCCCTATACCCTATACATTCCTTAGAAGAGACCATCGAACACGTCTTGTGCAGCTGCGCTTGCTACGACACACAGCGATGCCAGCTCCGGATGGTTTTGAATCAACTTGACCCCGGACCATTTTGTGTGCAGAAGATACTAGGACCTTGGGCATCTGCCTCAGTTGCGCAGAAAGCAACTAAAGCACTGCTACTTTACCTAAAGTCAACAAACCTGAGCGACCGCCTGTACACTGCGTGTGCTCCCCGAGTGTGCTCGTGATTGTGTGTACCTTCTCATTTCTCTGCAAACTCTTTTCTCCCCTTCATCCCTTCCCCAGTGCAGGGTGGAGGGACTATTGGTCAGCTGCCCACTCGTAATATGTTCACGTGCTACGTGACGCCACACAGGCTCATGAAAGGGTGTTCCACACTCGCCGCTATGGGTACAGATGGCGCTGACTGACACTCCCACGTTTAAATTAACATATAAACCCAATAAAGTGGCTGGGGAGGGATGGCCATCATGATAGCTCAGTGGTTAGGGCATCGAATGCCTTATTCGAAGGTCGTAGGTTCGATTCCTGCTCACGGTCAGTTATTTTTTATCCACTTTTCTTTCTTCTTTTTTACATTACATTGGTTCTAATAACTTCCCCTCTACATTCATTGGCATTATTGTCTGTTAGACCTCATGATTATTGTGTCAAAACACGGAAAAATGAGCCCTTCAATATACAATTCTTTCCCATGAATAGATATATATATATTTATATATATATATATAATGTTTGTCATGTCGCTTTATAGTATAGCTCACCCGTGCACGTTCTATTGTAGCGTGCCGAGCCCGGACCGACACCCAGTGAGCAGTTGAATCGCACTTCCCAGAACTCCTTGAACCAAGGGTTCCGCGTGTTGGTGAACGGATTCAGGCCGAAGTAGTAGTGATCGAAGGCGTGGTCGTAGTTGGCGTGAAATCGGATCGAGAGGCTCCCGACGGACGCCTTCTCCTGGTTCTTGACCACGTCCTGGCGGTCGGACCAGCCGTCGCTGCAGAAGGACAATAATGGAGGATAGAAAGCAAATAAGCAGGTAATGTGGCAAATAGTTCTAGTTCTGGAACATACTCATGATGACCAACGCAACAAAAGGACACAGAAAACTATGAAGTACACGCCACAAGCGTGTACTTGTGCACTTCTCTACACGCCACAAGCATGTACACAAGCGTGTGCCTGGGACTGTGTTTTCTTTTTTTCGTGCGCTGACTGTCATGGGAAATCAACACGAGTCAAATGACGTTCAACGGGCCATCAAAAGGGCAGCAGCGCCAAGGTAAGGCAAACTTATAAAGGCATATACGCCTCATCAAAAGCGAAAAGTGAACGTCGGTGGCGTCGGCGCCAACACGAGTGATGCAAGAAACAACCATGTGTTAACGTCACCCTATAACGTTATCACCACGTCACAAGTCGTCAAATTTTGTGACGTAATGATGCCGTCACCTGAAGAGCGAACATCTTATCACATGAATAGACGACATAGTCACTTGTGCAAACGAGAAGCGATGTCTGGGGCACTACAAAACTAGATGAGGCGAAAAAAGGTTCCAATGCGTCCGATATCAGACGCAGTGCGAATTGAGCTACCTTTGGGTAAAGAAAACTTTCCGAACGTGGGAGGGGAGTACAGGTGTTTCAATACAATCAACGACGAAGAATAAGAATTTGTCTTTTGCCGACGAGTTGACTTGGGAAAATACATAACAGAACGTGTGATAATTTAGCAACCGTGGATCTCTTTATCTAGCATAAAATGTCTTGAAGGCATTCATATTCAGCTTTACGGTAATACAAACAAATAATCAACACACAAAACCGATGTGTATTGTTCGCGTATCACACACAACCGAAAAACTTCTTGCTATATGCGCGTTGTAGAAGGCTGTCACAGTCAAAATATAGCAACTTTCTTTACGCCTCTCTTTATCTTTTTTGAAGTGCAATGATATCAACTACGCCATCATGTTCTGCCTTTCGCACGTTATTTATCACTCTTTCCGTCGCTGGCTTGCTTAATATAACGCCATGATATAAAAAAGCCTTATCTCATTTTATTCCTACATATCTAAAGATGTCATCTGGTTGATCCGTTAGCGAAACGTAAAAGAAGGAAAGCATCTAGCCATTGATGCATCTGCAAGGTCTCGAAATCTCCAAAAGCAAAGCATCATAGCACATGATTCGCGAGACAGTACATACTAAATCAAGCGCGTAGACGCATTAAGGTAACTAAATAACTACCTGACTAGAATGGATGAACGCTCGGGTATTGCGTAAATAAAAAGTACGTGAGAATGGCCGTCTGCTCCGGTCATAACTTATGAGCAGCCGACACGTGTGCAGGAGTCGTTCCGCTGTCGTGAATTCTTTATAGAGAAAGGCTGCCCTTGCAACCTTGTGCGTTGACTTGCTTTTTTCTTTGTTAACCATCGCTTCCGCGAACATTCCGAGCTGTCCAGTAATGTGACGATCACGCACGCTCGAGGCCCATTTCCTGTGCACAGCTGTGGCCAGCGGCGACAGCACGCAGGGTATCTAAATTGCAACTTTACTGTTCATCCCTACAGCGACCGTGCATGAAGATTCGAAGCACGCAACAGGAAACACCTGTAGCGTGGCGCGGTTACGGAGCAGAGAGGAGTGAGAAACGATGAGCACGTGACCTGACATGACGCAGATCTTCGCTGCACAACACAGATGATGATGAATGAATAAGATTTGAGGTTGTGAGTGACCAAGAATATTACCACCATTACTCCGCTGTACTGCTATATAGTCATATATATTATAGTAATTTGATACCTTATGACTTCGTTTTACATGCGCTTGCAAAATAATTGAATGGCAAACGCAAAGATGATCGCAATGTGGAAGAAGAAACTAACAGAGACCTCAAGGAAACAAACTAAAGAACGAATGTAATGTAGGGTAGAGTTCGTTGTTGTCGGTGTTGGCAGCTAGGAAAGTATTGGGAGGGGGTTGTAGGTGGGCATCGAAGAAAGGGTGTAAGTAATATCGTGTAAGCAAGGGAAGCACGTGAGACTCAGTGAGCTCAGACGAGGAGGAGTTCCCGGAAATATCGTCCTATATGGCACATATTGAAAATATTCTACTACAGTGCATGCACGCACGCACACACACACACACACGCACAAACTCGCTCTCTCACCCTTATCTCAGCTTTTCGACCAAACAAACATGCTCCGAGGGCACATGCGAAGCTTGGTCAGGAGGACTCGTGGACGGCTGCACTCGCGGAAAGCGACGAGGCTACACAGTAAGGCTGGCTAGCGATTTATTTGCGTTTCGTTGGTTTGTGTGTACTGACGCTGACGTCTCAGCGCCGAAGAAGAATTCAGTCGCGAAGTCTGTCGATAGGAATGCGAGAGATCAAGGCTTTTCAATTTAAAGAAAGAATCGAAGATCACACGTCGCAGACGCACAAAGCATGTGTCAGGGAGGATGTAATGAAAAAGAAATGGAAGCAAAAATATATCAGAAAATAGACGAGATCTTTTCTGCAGCAGTAGGTTTAGGTAAATGGAACCTATACTCTATAATTTATAGCCATGTTCCTTGGCAAAAAGAGATGCAAACGTCAATTCCCTGTCTCTATCTCCTCCACCATCCCAGGCTCTAGAAAGTCAGCATGTTTCGATAAATTTCCTGAGTGGAATATATATATATATATATATATATATATATATATATATATATATATATATATATATATATATATTATATATTAACGTTTCGGCTGGTGGACCAGCCTTCGTCAGAATGACCAGCCTTCGTCATTCGATTTATTAACGTTTCGGCTGGTGGACCAGCCTTCGTCATTCTGACGAAGGCTGGTCCACCAGCCGAAACGTTAATAAATCCACATTTCGTACGTGCGTCCTTCTCTTCAATCATATATATATATATATATAATATATATATATATATATCGCTAGGGAGCGTATTCTATACCAGCTCCATATATATTGCGCTTTTCTCTTTCCTTGTTTTTTTTCTTTGTTTCTTCTTTCATGTTGCCTGATGCCTTGCTTCGGAGGCATGCATTGTTCGTTGAGGAGCCGAGAGTTTCTTCAGTTTCAAAAAGATCGCTTCAAAACACGACACACGCTTTACGACCAGTGAGAACGCGTAGTAATGACGTGCAATTCTTGTTGACTTTTCTTTTTCCGAAGATAAGCCCAGCTGCTTTCCACAAGCGGTAAATCACAGCGTCTTCTTATCTGCTTTGTAACTTGCTATCCAATGGGTTGCGTTTTCTGACTCGGGGACTGGGGAAGTGGGGATCATTAACGCGACAGTTGGTACCAGCTTACCGGTAACTGCTTTTGCGCAACGGTAGAAAACGATAGCTGTGGAAGCCGTAAAAGGCTCTCCGAAAAACGTTTCTATTTTGCGATTTGTTTACGCTGAGACAGATGGTGGCGCACGTTAAAGCACAACGACTTTCAAAACTCCAGTTTGGCCACCCATCCGTATTCGTCCGAAAGATTCATTACTGGAATGTCAGAGTGGATCATTATCAAAGCTTTCATCACGAACAGCTCAAACTGGGAAAACTCTAAAGGGCATGACGGGTCGCAACACATCCTCTATGACTGGCCTTGCCTTAGTTGCGAAAGTAGCAGACTCTGACATCAGCTTTGGCAACGCAGCAAGGTGGGCATTGTGGTGCTAGCTATATTCTTGGCCCCACACATGGCCTCACAACACGAAAAACAGTTACAGGGCTGTTTTATGGAAGTTGCGGGGCGTTCAGACTAGACACGATGCTTTAGAGAGGCTACTGGGTCATATAACTGCAGCATGTACTAGAACAATGCGTATAAAAAAGAATCACAACACGCTACCTACACTGCCTGACCACCCACTATGATACGACACTGCTGTACCACCACAGACGAAAAGTCGAGCAGGCACAGTAGGCGATAGGATAGCGCTTACCTGTTTCTACGTGTGTATCCTGGTTCTCTTTTTATATCTCCCACTCTAATACATGTTGCAGTTATAAGGGATACCAACTCGCCTGATCAGCTTATCCGATATGCCCCTTGATGACATCCGGTTTTGTTCACCGATGTACCTTAATTACATCGGTGGTTAAAAAGAGCTTTAGAAAATAGCCCACTGATTTTCTACACTTTCTTTCACTTACTTGGCAAAATACATTCAAATAAATGTTCTTTTGCGCTACTTAGAAAAATGTGAGAGATTTTCTTGAACTGTACGCACGTTCCTTTTATCTGAAAAACTAATAAGAGATATTTCTAGCCCTAAACAGAATCTGAAAACGTGCTTTCAGTTTCGACTTAGGAGCTGGTAAATGAGGTGACCGGTAGTTTTCTGGGGTCGCTGGTGCCCACTGAGGCATGTTCCCTCCATGCAGGTGTCCTCCCGCGTCGGGTTTATCACGTCATTGTCGTGCGCTCTGCGGCCCGTAACTTTCAGACTCACGCTAGTCTTTGCTTTCGATTTGTTTTGGCGCTTCGGTAGCAATGGATTCCAATACCAGTTTTTTCTTACAAAGTTTCTTCTTTGGAAAAGAAACTGGCGCACTGCCAATGAGGCCTCTTGCAGTCTGAGCAGTACTCGCGAAATCGAAATTGGGAAATTAAAGTAATAACCGAAAAACCGAATGAGAACCTTGTTGAAGTACTCCAAGAAATTGGAGAGGTAGTTGGCGAGACTATAACCCCTGAGGACATTGACGTTTGCCACAAGGTTCGAACAAAGCAGGTTGGTCAAACCAATATAATTGTTCAATTTCAGCGGAGGGACAAACGTGATCAACTGCTTCAGAACTCGCGCAAGAAAAGGCTAACAAATGCCACCTGCTGAGTCTCCTGTGTTCGTGGTGGCGTTGCGATTTTAATTTCTTTAAATGGTTACGATATTCTTCGAGAATATAGCGTCGCTACCGAAGATTACGAAGTTATATACATTAAAAAAGAAAAAAAACAGTGTTTGCGGTCTTATATCGACACCCTAATGCCGCCCCTCTGCCTTCTTTCAGTTTTTAGACAATCTGCTGTTATTTGTAAATGAATATGGCTACCTACTTACACTTGGTCGGGACTTTAATATCGACATGACGACCAGTACGGCAGCTACTACACAGTTTTTGTCAATTCCGGAGTGCAATGACTTCTACAGTGTAATCAAAGCACCAACACGTGTAACCGCTACGACGTCATCGTTACTAGACACTTTCATAATAAACTCGACTATCGATAATTCAAAATCTGGAATCATAAGCCATGACATCAGTGATCACATGCCCATATATCTTTTCCCCGAACGAAAGACGTCAACTAAAAGCACGTTTACTAGTAATGCAACGTACCGCAAGGTATCGGCTCAGTCACTTGATAAATTCCGAGAAGCTGTGCGCGAAACAGACTGGACTGGCATATTTTCCATTAGGGATACCAATGAGCCATGTAACAAGTTCATGAACAAACTGAAAATGCTTTACTTTAAATCATTTCCAATTCAATGCTACCGAAATTAAAAGCCATCGCGCAAGCCCTGGATTGCGAAAGAATTCATAAGACAAATCAACAAAAGAAAATAAACTTTACCAGTGTTTCCCGGAGTCAAAGGACTTGTAAATGTGGAAAGAATATAAACAATTTCGACATAAATTGAACAAAAAAAGAAAAGGCAAAAATGACTACTACACGCGCATATTTAATAATGATTGTATGCGCCGAAATAACAATGTAAGGGAAAAAATAAACGATACACTAAATCGCAGGCTATCCACTGCACGAATAGATACACTGAATATCGATGGTATTTCTATAGGCGGCACAGAACTTGCGGATTTATTCAATGATTTCTTTGTGAAAGTGGGATGTGTAGATCACGGCATTCAGCCCACACTGCATCAAACCTCGTTAAGGGAGTCTATATTTCTAAAGCCTTCTAACACTTCTGAGGTGATTGCAACATTTCCGTGTCTGAAAAATAGCCGCGGTAAGGATATGGACGATTTAGAAATCAGACCAATTAATTATGCCATAGACCTTCTCGCTCCTATTATAACGCACATTTTTAACGCATCTTTGTCGACTGGAGTTTTCCCTCGCAATATGCAAGTAGCCCGAGTAATAGTTTTACATAAAGGGGGTGATAAAATCAATATTGGCAACTGTAGATCAGTTTCTATTCTTCCTATATTATCGAAGGGCCTCGAAAAATCTATAAACGTCCGTATTGATAATTTTTCGCAGAAACATAACTTGCTAACCGAGTGTCAGCACGGTTTTCGAAAAAGACGGTCTACGGAAAGTGCATTAAATATACAAAAGGATCTTATTCTTCAAAAACATTGAAAAAAAGCTTCTAACGTTAGGGTTATACTTAGACTTTAGCAAAGCATTTGATAGAGTCAACCACCAACTGTTGCTTACGAAACTAGAAAGGTATGGCTTCCGAGGAATAACACTTAAACTTATCCGATCTTATTTAAAAAGTCGACATCAATTTGTTGAAATAATGAAAATAGGTCACAAACGAAACCTCTAACAGCGGGTGTGCCTTAAGGTAGCATCCTTGGCCCAATATTTTTTTCTTTATTACAGTAATGATATCGTAGAAATTAGTGATATGTGTAAGGTTGTCGCTTGTGCAGATGACTGCTCAATTTTCTTTACAGGAAAAGACTTAGAAGAAATATTGCCTATAGCTAGCACTGTCTGTAACAAAATTCAACGCTGGTCAAAGGCAAACTACTTGATTCTTAATGAAGCCAAAACAAAATGTGTCATTTTTCGTGCCCAAGGAAGTTCTACTTCATTACCAGATAACATTGTTCTGGGTCCATATAAGATTACCTTTACGTCCTCTACGAAAACACTCGGAGTTATATTCGCCGAGCATATGTCCTGGAATGCTCATGTTGACAATGTGTGTACGAAAGTGCGAAAAGTTATTGGTATTTTAAATCGCTATCGAAATATATTGCCCTATAAAATTAAGCGCCTCATTCATCATGCTCTCTTTCACTCACACCTCACTTATTGCTCACTCATATGAAGAAACACCACCGCACAAAATATTCAGATGACGGAAACACTTTAAAAGAAGGCAGTTCGAGCTATTGCGAATGTTTCTTTCTCCGAACATACGGAAGAGATTTTCGGCAAATTAAAATAATAAAAGCTGGTGATATTTGGAAACTGAAAACTCTATAATGCTACAAGAGTGCTATGCTAGGAAAGCTAGATTCATTTTAACCCTCGCTGATCTAATAGAAAACAAAAGTACATATTCATTTTGCCGTCAGGCCCCATGGCAAATTCCTTTTTCTCGTACAAATTATGGACAACAGCGCCTTTGTCATACACTGCCTTCCCTACTTAACCATTTAAACAGACAAAGTGTTGATGTGTTACCGCTAAACAAAACTAAAATGTTGGACCTGTTCCTGTAACGGCTCTTTAACATAGGATTAGAAAAAAAAATCCCACCGGTTGTTGATAGCATGCTGCTGTTATAGTTATTTTCTACGTTATAAAAAAAGTGTTTTCGGTTGTACTTTGTAGTTGCTGTATAGTTTTTAATTTATACATTTCTCTTCCTTCATCGCAATGTTTATTTTATATTCAGTTGAAATGTTATAATTGCTTTAATGCTTTATACTTTGTATCATGCTTTCTTCTACTGCTTTGAAACAAACTTCACCACTGTCTGCCTGGGGGACCGGAGCTTTGTCAAGCCGAAGAACTATCGGTTTTTTTTTCCAGTTCTCCCTTTTTCACCTTTGTATGAAATGATGAAAATAAAAGATTTTGATTTGATTGATTTGACGTCTGGTTAACGTCAATAGTGATTAGGTGCCATGCGCGGAAGTTGATTTATGTAGCAGTGTCGAGAGCCAGCATACTCGTGAGCATCAGCGCCTCATATCAGCTTCTGGTGTTGCTAATACGCATGTCCCAGTTGGCATCGTCGGACATATGCAAACAACTGGTTATATAAACATCTGCAACTCTTCAGCATATGTCTGTGCGCACAACAATTGTACATATATTTAACGTCATTTCATGGCATGTCGCTCAATAAAAACTTTTAACATAGTCGCTTTCTATCTGCATGCTTCGCATAATGTCGATTCCCAAGTACGTGGGATCCGCCGAATTTTTTTTATACTCTTTCTTTCTGTCTTAGTCACGAATATATTGCATACGCTTGGTTAATCTAAGCATGCCTTACACGTTTTTGTGCGTACGTGCATATATACACATGTAAAGTAAAAAAAAATTCTGGGGGAGGGGGGTCGTTTGAACGTTCCTCCCCCCCGCTGAACAAGCGACTCTCTTGAAAAATTGTAACAGCGCAACAAAACGCCCATTTGTCGCCTTCGTCCGCAATGACGTCTCGGACGAGATTCTAACATGGTTACTGCCGACATAAGTCCACGGTCGAAGCATGATTCGAGGAGTTATTGTCCGCTGCAGAAGTTATTGCTATCATTATATTGCTCACCTGCCGAAGAAGATGTATTTCCCGGCGACCTTGAGCCTGGCGGTGGCGTTGATAAGCGCTTGCACGGTGAAACCTTCGCAGAAGCAGACCACCACTTTGGCTGTGCCAAACTTGTCGATGCTGCGCACCACCGCATTATAGTCCTCATCGTCCGCATCCGTTGGAATGGCGTGCGAGTTGGCCACACAGATGCCGGCGTCCTTGGCACGACTGGTGAACTCGTCGATGCCGTTGTAGCCGTAGTTGCCTGCGATAGAACAAGGTGCAAGGCATAATGTCATCGTAGTGAACTTTGCAAATGAAAAGCGTCATGTACAGAAACGTCTGTCCTGTTCTGTCCATTCCGCTCCTGTAGCGTCATTTCCTGCCCTGTCTTATGTTTTTTTTTTCTGCAATGCTTTTCCCTGCATGCTTTTCAACCAATGGTCCTAGTAATTTTTGAAACGAGGAAAGGCGTATAATAAAACTTGCTTGTAAGTTTTTTTCTCTTTTTTGTCGTAATAATGAAGCCTGCTTGAGTGAGTCATGTAAGATATGTCACTTCATCCGCAATTATTATGCGCTATTCTAATTATAACATTTAGAAATAAGTTAATACTACGTGTAATGCCGCTTACTCGTTTTCTCTGTAATATATATTTTTGCTCGTGATGTTCCTAACACAATAGAACAATGAACACGTGAGAAAACGTTCCAATGAAAATTCTGAGTGGTAACTGTTAGACTTATGAAACTCTATGAAACAAAAACGTCCGCAGAGCAAGGATGTTCACAAATTATTATGTTTCACAGCTACTTAAAAAATAAAAAACAGGTTGTGGAAGAATGCATGTTTTATAGTGTTGCGTTATTGAGAATTTCTTTACGCATTTCTAACTATCCCAGAACTTTACCTATGTGCACCGCATGAACATGTCCATCGCAGTGATACGGCAGCTACGTTGCTCGGCTGTTGACGCGATGGTTTGGGGGTCAATTACGCGTTTGTATTTCGATGGAACCGAAATGCTCAACACCCTTGCAATGCGCGGTGTCTTTGCACCTTAGGGAACACCACGCGATTTGAATTGCCGGAGCCTTCCACTACGGTATGTTACGTAATGATACTGTTTTTCTGGCGTGTGAAAGTCTCACAAATTTTTTATTATCTGCATACGCATAAACTGACTCGCCGTATCTGAATACTGCACTGAAAACAGACCCTTTTTCTGACGACGTTGCCTTGTCGTTTCGGTGTCACGCACAGAAACACCCTACGACACTCTTCCTAAAGCGGCGCCTGCATTACCTCTGGAAGTGAAAACGAGCGCACATATCACCGGCACACAAACAGTGCAGCCACCGGCGAAATAACAAACTCCGATAGAAGAGCGCATCAGTGCGCGCCATAGAGTACCGCAATCGCTCGATGTCACATTGTGCAGTGCGTGTAGCACACGCACGCTTTTCTTATATACCTCTGCGGTTGCATCTACAACTCGGAAGCACCCGATGAAACGCACCGCTTTGATTTGTGGGCTGACTGGTGAGGAGGAAGATGCTGCAGACGTTGTCACCAAAGCGGAATGGAGGCGAAAGCGTTCGGCCACCGTATATTTCCTCGCCCTACTTCCCGTCTCCACCTCACTTCTGTTTTCTTCTTCTTTTTTTATCGAGTTTTGACGTTGATAGGAGCTATGCTGACGCTTGTTTTTTCGCAGCTTTATGTGCCATCCCCATCCCACCTTCCTCGGCTTTTCTGAGCGCGTATCGCCGGTTGGCTCCGGGCCAGAAAATACCGCCACCGTCGCTCCATTAAACGATTCCCCGCTTTTCCTTGGTTTTCTTTTCTATGACTGCGCTGCAGCGCTTTGGCGGGAGGTGTGTGTTTGCTGTGTTAGACTAGCGGCCTGCTGACGTTTTATGTTGTCCCTACCATCGCCGTGTCTTTTTGGATAGCGTGTCATCATGGCATGATTCGATAGCCGAATTCCCTTTTTCATTAAACAAAAAAAAAAAACTCGGCAGTTTTCTGAATCAGAACTAGAGTACACGGCGTCTGAGATGTTGGCGAATATAAAACCAAAACGAAACAGTCATGTATATTAAAACTCTAGAACATGGCGCTTATAATGATCTGTGTGCCCTGGCTGCTGCCTTCCGTTTTTTTTTTCATTTCAACTCTGTAGAGTGAAGTAGACTTGTTTGATATTCATGCTCAATTTAGATATTTGTCGCCCCCCCCCCCCTCTGTCACACTATAAAGTTTCGTCGTGAATGTATCTTTTCTCTTACTTTCCACGAATCACACGTGTTCTCGTTATCTCACGCGTTTTGGAAATGTCAGGGACAACGCCAAGTTCTGATTCTCAAATACACACTCTGCCATTGACTGTCTGAATTTATGTTTATTTGCGCCTCGTCGGTCGCGATGTTTATAGATAATGCATTTCAACTCGTTCGCATCTTGAAACTTCCGGTGAAAACGAAAAGATGACATTAATGTGTATCATCAAAATAAGTCACAATGGTGAAAACTAAATTCTTTTTAGTCACACAATCAGTGAATCACATGACTGAATCACAATTACGTTCAGTGTATCGGTGACCACCTAGTTACTCCAAGAATTAGAAGAGGTTGAGATGTAGCAAGGAGAGGAAGGGGGGTTAACTATACGCATGCCCAGTTTGCTACCTTTCACAGAGGGAACAAATGAAGGGGCGAATAGAGAAATGAAAGAAAACAGAAGGATTGGCAGAATCACGCGCACACTTGGAGGAGCACATCGGGTCTACAGGCGGTGGCAGAGGCCTGTTGACTGATTATTTTCGGAGCACTTTCATTGCCTCCTGTGGCTGCCAGGCATATATGTCCAAGATTTTAGAACTTTGGTTGAAGAAAACGGTTTCGAGTTCAGTTATCCGAGAATCATATGAAGTGAGAATGAGTGAGGGTCATAGAAAGCGCCGCTGCACATGACGTGTCCAATTGTGTGTTTCATTGCGCAGGAATCACACAAGAGCTTCACATCAGAACGAGAATTTGCTATGGCAGTTGCAGCATTAACAAAAGATCAAACTGGTGTAGATAACACCTTATCAAGTTATGAGACCGCCAAAAAGCGTGCACAGATGTTTGAGCCCGGAAGTGTAGTTTTCTTGGCACGTACGTCGTTGACAGAGGTATCAAAACAACTCGGGTTCCTTTAAGTGCTAATTGGGCTGCTTCGTCGCCTAATTGATTACTAGAAATATCTTTATGTCCTGGTAGCAGTTATTCCATCCTTTCGCTCAAACTTGATGGTAACTGTTTTTTTTATTTGATGCATCAATGCAGCCCTTACAGAAACAAGCTCTGTAGCAGTATATGTCGTTACGTGCGATAATTTAAACTTTATTCTCATCACTGCAGTCGGTATTATATTATCACCTGCCTGGTGAGTTGATTGGCGAGACCAACCCATCAGCACAGATCCGCCATCGGTTCGAGTAGGTCTCATGTAACAGCAGCGCCACCTTTTATAATGCTATCTTGAAATGTTAGCTATATCCCTGGAATTTCAGGAACATGACTTAAACCGCGGATTTTTCAATGCTCTGCTTGGCTTAGCTGATTGGGATCGAAAGTGTGCGGCTAACTTACATTCTCAGAGCAGAATTTCAGCAGTCATTCCGATGAAAAAGGTTCACTTGATCAACTTGGTTAACCATTGCACGAAGGATGCAGAGAACTCACACATCCAAGTACAGAATTATACGTTATCGACAAAATGAGGTTCCGGAAAAGGCGAAGAAATGAAGCCTGGATAAGTGAAAGATAGGCAGACAGAAAGTCGTGAAAAATTGTGGGAAAGAGGTGCAGTTTCCCGTACGAGACGGCCCCAGCCGTCCCTGCAGCGACAAAAAGAAACCCGCGAAGTGGCGGCCCGAGTCGACAGGCGGTGGCGACGGCGAGTGTCGCTAAAGTCCTTCTTCTACAGGCGCCTCCAACTCGAGGGGATAATGGAGTTCGGTCGTGAACAATGTCCAGAAAGACATGCCGTGAAAAAGTGGCGGCGGAATCGAGCGTCACCTAAAAACGCAGAAGGCCGCTGGACAAAAGAGCTGAACAAAGACTGGACAGAATACTCGGAAGTACGCTACGATGACGCCTGCGTGCGACACTCGCCAAGCAAAGAGATCAAGAATGAGAAACGGAACGAAAAACAGAAAAAGCAAAAACGAAGTAACACTTATGCAGGGAATTTCGGAAGCGTTAAGACAAACGCTCGTCGCACCACAGTGGTCTCTCCACTCCAGTCTATACTTCTTTTTCTTTAATCCCGAATGATGATCTTCCATCAAGGGAGGAGATAGTAGAACGGTTGTTATAGTTTTTTTTTACGTTGTACTTTCATTCTACGAATAAAAAAATAACTTTCAAAGAACAATCAACGATACGGAAGTAAAACAAGTTTGAGTTGTTTTCTGTCTGGCTTATCTTCAAGTGCATCATTGGCGAAGCCAGGGAAGTTCAACATCTCCCCCTTCCTTTGAAATCTAATCGATTTTCAATGCGCATGCGTAGACTCGAACACATTCAAATTACCCGCCATGGTAGTCTAATGCTTATGGTGTTCGACTGTCGATCCAGAGGTCGCGGGATCGAATCCCGGCGACGGTGGCCGCATTTGTGGTGGAGCCGAGAATTTTTAAGGACCGCGTACTTAGCTTTAGGTGCACGCTAAAGATCACCAGATGGTCGACATTTCCGGAGCCCTTAAAAACGGCGCCTTTCATAGACGTTAACCCCCATCAATTACACATACCATATGAACACACGAATTTCCATGAAGGATGGTTCAATTTCCCACTCCGCTAGATAGAAAGCCTCGCTATATACATTCATAATGTGCAGAGCTCAAAAAATAGTAGTAAAACCCTTGAGTGGTGGTGTTAGCGGAAACGAGCACACTGCGAATTCACCCCCATCCCCCTACTTTCATCATCTTTATCTCTCACCGAGATACAAATGAGCTCCGAGAACATCGTGCTTTCCGCGCGAATAGAAATAAATGCCGGATGAAAAGATAGGGGAGAAGTAGGTATAGAGAGGGGGTGGGGGCTGCTTTGTTGACACGGCGAAAATGTAGAGTGCGGGAAATTGGCGTCCTCACATGATGGTGTCGCCTAGTACGGTTCGTTATGCACGCTGGTATCTGCATGGCGATATCCCTCATAAAACGAGGGGAGCGCGCAAGAATACGACCCTTTCTTCGTACGCGCTTC